TACGGGTTTATATTTATGTCGTTCACTAAATATCAATATGAAAAATTATAAAGATGTCAAGCATTTCAAAAAATATATAAAACAATTAAATTTATCAAATGTGTAATTTTTATTTTTTTTAATAATATCACCAGTTATTTATGTAAAGTATTAATATTATTATTATTGTAAATTTATTATATTTATTTACATCTCTTAGTACTATGTTTTAATTATCAATTATCAATTATGTTAACTCTATTATACATTTATATTATTATAATCCTATTCAATTAACTAATTAGTAAAAAAAAAAAAAAAACCACATTATATATATTTATTTAATCTATAAGAACTGTGCCCCCAGCACAAGCTTTGCTTAAAGGGGGTACTGCATTATATTAATCTAAATTTTGTAAAATAATTGTATGATATCCTTATGCTGCAAAAATAAAAATTATTATTATTATTATTATTATTATTATTACTTATGGCCTATGGGCCCAATTTATAACCAACAGTATTGCCTATATTAGGTATACTGAGTTTTATGAATTAAATAATTTATCTAATAAAAAACTAAATTGATATGATAAAATATAATCTTTATCCTATACATTTTAAAAACTCATACCTACCTATTTAAAAAATAGACCATTTAACAGCAATTGCATTATGTAGGCCAGTGGTGGCCAAACTTTTTTTACCTCGGGCCATAAAAACAACTTTTTTTTACCACGGGACATAAAAAAAATTTTACTTTAGTCGTCAGAATTTTAGGTATAGGTGTATAATTTCATATTTAACAAGGTTTTTATTGTACTCAATAATCATAATGACTTTCTTTAATACTTAGCTTAATAATTACTACAAATGAAAAAAAATTATATCGGCTTACATTTCCAAAAATTATTTGGCGGCAGACAATATTATTATCTACACTGTAGATTCTACAGCCATCGTGATCGTATGGAAATGAGATAAGAAACCATAATGCTATTTATATTATTAAAAGACATTGTAACAACAAAAACGTTAGAGTATTCAATATGAAGAATGTTTATAGTGTATTTTTTTTTTACTTAAGTATAAAATATTATAGTTCTTTTGCGGGCCAGATATCAAAAAATGATGGCGGGCCAGATATCAAAAAATGATGGCGGGCCAGAGTTGGCCCGAGGGCCGTAGTTTGGCCACCACTGGTGTAGGCAATAGATTTAACAATATTCTCTACATCTATAATTTATTTTACTCAAGTACTTATTGATGCTATAAAAATTCTAAAATGTAAATGTAAATTACAATTATTCTGATTACTGTGACAATTTTTTATATTATGTAGGTATCTAAATATTGCAACATCATGTTTATTTGATTTGTTTAACTAGATATTCTGTAAAAATATATCTTATGTACCTACCTATGTACTATTCTTTCATATTGCATACTGGACTTTAAGACAAATGGAAGTTATATTTTATACAGTGTTTATTTTGTTCATAATGTGTGTCATGTGTAGATAGCCACATTCTAAATTTAGCTTATATTTGAGGGGTGGAAATCCAAAACGCACTATTGCCAAAATTGACAAAAACGAGTTAGATATCAATTCTTATAAAAAAAAACGTCGACAAATCCATTGGTGTTGTCAGAATAGACCAAAACGTACTATTTCCCGGTCAAATCAGCTGTTAAAAATGACTGCTTAATCCAAAACGAACCTTTTCCATGCATGAAAATTATATTTAGATAATCAAAACGTACTTTTTCCAGTTTTACGCCAAAACGTACTATTGCCCATGTTAAAAGAATAGGCACCAATCATTAACTATACCAAAACGAACTATTTCCGTAAATTATTCCAAAACGTACTTTTTTTTATGTTATGCCAAAATGTACTATTGCCCGTGGTGTAGGTATAGGGAAATAAAATAGTTAAGCCAAAACGTACTAAAATATAATTTATAATTTATAATATTAAGTTATTATCACAATCATAATGTTTGAAATTAAATTAAAAATATAATCCTAGATTATTAAACACATTTGAGTCATTTTTAATAGAAAAAATATATTATTAAATAATTTAAAATATCTTCCTTGTCTTCAAAATTACTTGTCTATTTATAAACGGTTTGTTTATATTGATAATGAATCCGTTCCCGCGAATATTTACTTCCACCACGATGCAGTTATTGTTTGTTACTCGCTTAGTCGCACGACGCACACTCGCATTGTTGTTTTATAATAATAATATTATAAAGTATAAAAATATGAATAATAAAAAGAGATCCAGAAAGTTGGTGGAAGCCGCAATTAAAATGAACGTAAGTACATATTATACATAATTTATTTTAATAGCTATAATATTAGTAGGTAATTTATACTGTATTCCTAATTTATTATAACTTGATATTCTTTACTCTATGGTTTATAAGCTATAACTTTATAGGTAGTATAACGATAACCTATAATATCTATTAAATATGTCAAATATAAGTTAAGACAATAAACAATTATTACCTAGATACATTAATGAAGTTGATTTAAAGTACCTATGTATTATTTGTAATTTCTTGCATGCACTGTCAACCTGGTTTAATAGTTAGGTACAAAAATCAAAATTCTACTCAAATGTGTACCTATAAATAGTAACTACACAGTACCTTATAGTAACTACACAGTACCTACACTTCATACCTAGTCAAAAAAGTATTAAATTAATAGATTTTTTTTAATAACCTACCTATTTAATTTGTATACTTCATAGAGTATAGACACATATTCCCAGTGTAGGTATTTATATAGTAGGTATGTAAATTAATATTGGAAATTCAGTAGATGTAGAAAATAATACAGCTTTTGACTCTCAAATTAATTTACACACTGAATATTATAATATTATATTATTATAAGTTTATTTAGTTTTAATAATTATTTTGATTTAGAAAAATCAACAAAATACAACAGCTGTAGCAAGACAGCTATTTTTGCCAGTTGAAAATTATGATAACACATACCATCATTACAGTAAGGTAAGTACTTTGTACTTATTTTAAATGCTTATAATATTGGAAGTAGGTAAATAATATCATTTAACTACAACCATATTGAACAAAAATTACTTTCATAATAATAAATTATAATTAGAATATAATTTGTTCACAGAAAAAAGTAGAAAATTGGTTAACCAATAAATCAAATACATTATTTGAAAGCACTAACTTTATCCAACAAGAGGTAAGAAAAATTCCGTAACATGTCTTATAGTATAATATAACAAACTTAAATAATATATTTCAATGCATTATAATATTATTTCACCTGCTTTCCAATGTTTTTAATTTATTTTTATTATAATACCTTACCATACCGGTGGGAATTCTAATATTTATAATGTATACTGTAACTAATAAATAAAATATTTTTAATAATTTTAGGAAATTACTGAATATGAACAACAACCCAGTCCAAATGAGTCTGACCACAATATGTTATTTAATATTCAAAACATCACACCGAGCAAGGTAAAAACTATTTGAGATAAATAAATATTGCAATCATATTGTAATAACTCAAATACAAATTAATTAAAATACATTATAATATATACAAATGTTCAATATTTAGTATTAAAAATAACTTATTAAAAAATATATCTGTTTATTTTAATGGAAGAATCAAATATTAAACAAAATAATATTTATAAAGTAGTTTTTATTTTTAATCTTCTTTAGTAATTAATAATTAATTAACATTGTTTTTTTTAATTGTTTAAGGATAAAGAACTGTGTGCTGAATTAATAGATATTGAGAATATGGAATTTACAATACTTGAGGATGGAGTGAATATTTTACCTGAAGAAAACCAAAATACGAATTCATATACTGTCATCACTGTTAATAACTCGGCTAATTCAGAATTAAGAATTGTTAATGAAACTTCATTAAATTCCACATCTTTGGTGGAACCAATAGATATTTCACCTACTAAATTCAGTATAGATGGAGAATATTATGATCAGATAATAGTTAAAGATGGTGGTCGAAAAAGACAGAAAGTGAACAAAAAATTGGCTGCTAAACTTGAAAAACATCAACTTAAATTAGATTTTATAATAAATTGTAAACACAAAGATAAAAGTTCATCGTTTTGTAAGGTATTTGAAATCAATTTAGAGGATATTGAAAGTTTCAAATTCAAATTATGTTCAGAAACTTTAAAAATTGAACAAGATAAGTTTCTTTTATCATACATGTGGATAGAAAAACCAAAACGAACAAATCGTCGGGCAAATTTGTCTAAAAACAATCGTTTAGTTGTCAAGTATTTTATTCCTTTGGAAAATGATAAGATACCTGTTTGTGCAAAAGCATTTTCTGATATAACTGGTATGACTAGAAGAAGATTAAATATATTGTCAAATGGTTTCAGAAAAACACATTCAAGTCCAAAAGAAAAAAGAGGTGGTGCTCGTATCACACCAATAGATACATCTACAACTGTATCCATTACTAATCACATTCAGCAATTTAAGGCCAAAAAAAGTCATTATTCTCGTAAAGATTCAGACCGATGTTACTTGCAGCCAAATCTTTCCCTTAATAAAATGTATCTTCTTTGGACAATTGAAATGAAACGCACAGATCAACCCATTGCTTCAATCGGTAAATACAAAGCCATATTTTACAAAAATTTCAATCTCAGTTTTGGACACCCTCGTTTAGATGTATGTAGCTTTTGTACTGAGCTTAAAGCTGAAATTAATTCAAACAATATTAATAATATTCAAAAAGATGTACTTACAAACAAATTGTCACTTCATAAAGAACAGAGTAAACATTTCCATAGGATTATGAAAATTGAAAACAAGAATACTATAAATATTGCATTTGATATGATGCAAAATCAACCAATACCAAAATTAAGCGTGACAGAAGTGTTTTATAGCAGACAAGTATGGGTTTACAATTTGACTTTTGTATTGACCACTGAAAAACAAATACCACAAAATTGCCACATGTACACTTGGACTGAAACAGAAAGTGGAAGAGGACCAAACGAAGTAGGATCAGCACTGATACATTTTTTAAAGATGCTTGAAGATAAATTCCAAAATAAAGCAGATTCACCAACTGTTGTAAATTTATTTTCAGATTCATGTTCTGGTCAAAATAAAAATCAATTTATAATGGCTGTGTTGCTACATTTCATCAATTTTGAATCCAAAATTTTTTCTGAAATAAATCACTATTTTCCTGTCAGAGGACATAGCTATATGCCTCCTGACCAGGTGTTCGGTCGAATTGAACAGGAGTTAAATAAAATTGAAACAATTATTTCACCATCTGAATATTACAAAATATTTAAAAAACATACTACAGTCAATGTATATGGTAAAGATTTTAATGTTTATGACTACAAATCTGCTGCAAAAAAAGTTATAAAACAAAACCAATTTAAGATGACAGAACAAAAAAGATTTCAATACCTAAAAGGTAAAAACACAGTTGGCATAAGTAAGACATATGAAGGTGAAATTACAAGAGTTGGTGTCATAAAAAGGTATACAAATCTTCAGAACATCGGTGAAGTCGATATCCTGCCAAAACAAAACCATGTCAAGTTAGCAAAAAAAGAAGATATAATCAAATTAAATAAATTTTTTAAAATACCAGCTGATGCTGAGGAATTTTATAATGATATATTTAAAAATGTAAATAATAATAATATTGAAAATGACGAAAGCGGGGTTTATGAAGAAGACCCTTATTAAATAATAATTTGTATTGCACCTATTTGTATTGTATTTATTACTAAAGAATTGATAATAAATTAAATTAGCTGAACCACAATATGATTAACTGTATTTTATATACTTTTCAGGAGATGTAAAAAAGTAAAAACCATTTAAACATGTATACCAGTATGGCACTATAGATATTGATTTAAACATATGCTTATTATTCAGAAACTTAAGATCAATATTATTTTATTGTAATTTAATATCAAATGAGTTATTCACTACCAAAAAATTGGAGATATGACATTGGAATTAAGTATTTACGTGTCATATATTAAGCATATTTTAGAATGATCGTAAAAACAATAAATTATAAATTAATAAGATTTTTATTTTGGAAAAAGCACATTTTGGATTACATTTTATTAGGTTTTCCAAAACGAACTTTTTTCATTAAATTTTCCAAAACGTACTATTTCCATTAAATTAATGGAAAAGGTACTTTTTGGATTATTGTACATTTTTATATGATAAAAAAATAGGGTTCATACTTAAAAAATGTATTTTTTTTTTTTAAAAATCGCTTTAACTCATTACACTTTACATTTATAGTGCTTCGGTTAGTTGACATAGGTTATAGAAAAGGAGATACAGAAAATCGCTTCTCCTGAAAAATCAGTATTTTGGCAATAGTACGTTTTGGATTTCCACCCCTCATTTCTAACTTATTAAAAAAAAATATTCTTATAACATACCTACCTAATAAATTATTTTAAATATAAAATAATAATAATTTTTAATACAAAAAGAAATAGAAACATACTTATTTAAAAAATAATACATATTCATTTAATTTTTGGAAACAATAAAGTTACTCATACTTTGTTTATTACATTTTGCTGATTGTTGTTGAATGTAGTCAGAATAGCAACCTAAGCCCTTAATAGGGCTATAGTTATAGATAAAAATATCTCATTTATCTGGTTTCGTAGCCCAGATAAATAATGAATATTTACATTATAATCATAAGTTTATTTTATTAAACACTTACAATTTTAGTTTAGTTGACTTAGTTGAGGAATTGTTCTGATCAAGTGGTTGTTTTAATCAACCAGTGTCTCCATTAAGATGGCTTTTCACAACCATTTGTTGCCTCCATCTTACAAGTGTATAACATACCCAATTTCTGTTCAGCAGATCATGATTAATTCCTTTAGTTTAAAAATTAGATTGAATTGACCTTTTATGAAACTTGATGGTAAAAACATTACCTGTGTTAGTATGTGGGTTTTTTTACTATAGTTAAATTTTTAACTGAAGTATGAGCCTATTTAATTTATGTTGTATTATATACGCATAACTTGCTAAAAATTCAACCATTGTATAAAAACCCTCTTATAAACACAGATAATGTTTTTATAGTAGGTCGCTGGTCGATTCACTCTAATTTTTAAACTAACTAAGCTAAGCGTGGTTCCCAAACGTAAATTTGCTTTGTTATGCACTTGTAAGATGAAGACAACAAATTTCTGTTAAATCATTCCTACTTGTACAATAGCTGAGACTTATTCCATTTTTATCATAGACTATGAAAAAATTAATCTTGATTTTATTTCATTTTTTAATGTCAATCTTTTACCCCAGACCACCATCCAATTATTAAGTGCTAACTTGATAAATTTTAATTATTTTTTGGGGATCAATAAAATCTATGAATCCATCACTATTATTATTGTATTGACATTGTTAGTGTTATGATTATATAAAGTATAAGATTAACCTAGGGTAGGGTTAATAATTTTATAATAATTATTCACATTGATCATTACTATTACCTATATTTATTCATATATATATATATATTTCTTATGTTTTAGATATCACAAATAAAAAATGTCCAATACCATTTATGAAGAATCTCTTTGTGTTGACAAGTCTTTCACATCCACATCAACATCTTACAGATTCATACATACAACTAGTTCCAATTTTTATAATGATTCATCTTTGGTTCCTATTTTTTGTAACCGTACATCAGCAGATCTTGGTGTTTGTAAACTGTCTTCAGCTTCTCATAATTTAGACTATGGTAATTTAAAACTAAAAGACAGCTCCATGGTAAAAGATCCAGTTACTATTAATGCTCCACTATTATCTTTAAATCAAGAGCCTTCAAAAAAATTGAGTATAATTTCTTGTTACCGAATTGAAATGCATCCTACAAATCCATGTACCAAATACGATTTTAAATTTTTAAATAGTAAAAATCTTAATTTGTATAAAAGTATGTACCATAAACGCATTAGTTTAGAACGTCAGAAAAAAGTAGACTTTATGTATTATTTATCGAGGCGTTATAATTTTGTCCCTGTAACCGAGAAAATATTTACATTTTTGCACGGAAAAGACATTTTAGCAATGTCTATGGTATCTAAAACATGGCATAATGCAGTAAAAAACTCACCATCAGCTATAAGAAAGAAAAAATCTTATGTAACATACTTGCGATCAGAAAAAGAAAATCATGGACATGCTGAACGAAGACGATTGTGTTTACCAAGTAGAAGAGTTTTTGGTGATATTACCAATATCATGCGTTTTCGTTAAAACGGAAAGATGGACATTCAATAGCACATAATAAACCTAATATTTTAATAAGGCAAGTTAATTATTTATGACAAATAATTTAAGTATAAAAGAAATAGAAAGCATTAAAGAATTTTGTATTCTGTTTAATACAAATAAAATGAATAAAAAAAAATGGCATATTTAGATATTGCTCAAAATATCTTAATACTAACCTGAACATTATATTAGTCAAATTTTTTTGACAAATAGAAAAATTAGAAGACATTGTTAGCTGTAGTCTGTAATAGTTTCAGGTTTTTTTGTAACTAAGATACATTTTTTGAATGATATGTAAACAACATTACACTTACTTATTGTGCTATAATATAGGTAATTTCCTAAGTAGTAAAATTGATTTATAAACTACTACTTATTTTTATACACATTTAACAGTTAAATATTTACTAAATTGCAGGTCCCTCACGTGTTGTAGGTGAAAACTGGTCATTAGTATATAATTCTATTTCCAACTTATTTTAAGTGCTCAAAATAATATGTGCTTCAAAAAAATCTTATATGTATAATATGTATCATTATAATATTATAATTCGCTTAAGCGAATATTAAATATCTGTTAATATTGAATCTTGTCAATATATTGTTAATATATAATATTTTACAGATATTATAAATTGTTTTTTTTTTTGTTATCTGTAAAATAATTAGTTATACATATGTTATCGTATTTTTTGTAATTTACTAGAATTGTTTAAAATAATACACTAATATTTTTTTAATTATTCAAATTTTTGTTGTATAAAAAAATGGTCTTCTTATCTCATTTATTTTGTTATTCAATAGCGCTTGTTCATAAAATAACTGTATTCCTTTAGACATTTAGTTTTTTCTAATATTAAAATTTGAATTGAAAATGTATCAAAGTTCAAACAATTGTAAACTCTTATGTTTATGAAATAAAAATCAGTTAGTGAATAAACAGTAAAAACTTGTTTTACTAGTATAAGAAAACCTTAATTATCTGAAATAATAATAATTTAATAATTATATTTTACCAGCTGTGTATTACATGACTTAGAGTGGAAACAAAATTATAAATACGGTGCTTGGTGTATTTATGTTTGATTGCATCTCAGTTCATGTGGGTGAATAGTTGATGTAATGATATTGGTATACCTCGCTTTGTATACAAATCCGTCCTAAAAAATCAAACAATTTTTGGATAAAAGTCCAAAACATTGGACCATTTTTAAACATCAAACCTGAAACTTCTCTTCAAAGTTGGTATCTTTTTAATTTTTAATGTGCCACTAATCTAAGACTTACGTTCTAATTGTGGTTTGCCAATTTTAGCTAAAAAGTGCATATTTCATTGATTTTATACACATATTATGCATAATTCATATTTTTCTAAAAAAAATTGATTTTTTTCTTTCTAAACCTGTATATTTCAACTAATCTTGAACATAAAACTCAAAATGACCAACGAAGGTATATATTGTCATCGCCATAGTCAATTACGGAGTTAATAACAGTGATGTACTGATGTTATACGCATTTAGTCTATCACGCTAGTATGCCGAAATACTTATTTGTAGTACTATCTTATCGTCGATAAGTTATCGTAATTATAATGATGGTTTCTTTGTTTATCGTTACTGTCGATTGTACACGATTGATGTTTGACAGTTTCGTTTTAGACATCGTATTGTTAGTAGGTGAATATTTGATCAATTTTATATTTAATATTAATATTTCGATTTTATTAAAATGCCAAAAGATATAAATTTACAAAGATATTTAAGAGAATACGGAGACGTATTTTCAACTGATGGCTATATACTATTTTGTAAAGTATGTTCAGGTAAAGTAAATGCAGAAAAAAAATTTCACAGTCACGCAGCATTTGAAAACAAATAAACATGAAATGTTAGCAGCTCGTCGAAAGGTCAAAAGTAAGTCCTCAAAATATACTCAGCAATTGTTTACTGCATCCAACAAAAAGTCGGCCTTTTCTAAAAAATAAATAATTTTTATGTATATGATTAATTTGTAAGCAACATCTGATATAAGAATAATATTTTTGCATAATTAACATTTTTAATGCATATTTTGCAATTTTTCGTGCATATTTGCATGCATATTTTACCTTTTTTAGCTCCTACAACTTCCGAGCCCTAGTCATTACTCATAAGTCGTAAGTCTAGTCAAATTAATATTAATATTTTTATTCTGTGAATGCCGTGTTGTATTTTCCGCGATTAGGCTATAATTTGTTACAATAAAATCATATTGTTTTCAAGCAAAAGAGCCGCTCAAAAAAATCTCCCACGGGGCAGTGTTAAATAATTTTGCACTTGATTCTTGGTTTATGAATCGTTGGATGGAGTTTCCTTCTTCATTTGTCCTAATTCGAACACTGAATTTATATTAATATAGTTAAGTAGGTAAAAATCAAATTATGAATAGGTACTATACTGCTTTTTATGAAACATTGTTATAATTAATATCTCTAATGGCTAATTATAATTATAATGATTTGAATACCTAATGATGTTACATTGTTACCATATAGTGGTTAATGCCACAATAAAATTGAATACTGAATGGATAGTGTCAATTGAAACCTACCTACTTGCAGACTGGCTATTTATGAAAACGTGTAAAAATTACAAATAATAAAGTACAATCAATTAAAAAGTTTTTTTTATACAATTCCATACTCTTATCTACTGGTTAGGTTACTGGTAATTTGGAACAAAATGACACCTAAAAAACTCGAGTTTTTACAAGTTATAAGTAATGTAGCACATATTATTATTATTATTACAATAAGTTATTATAATGATAATATAATATATATTATTATCTCCACTATAGGTAACAATAATTAGCTATTGCAGACCGAGCATTTTATCGAGCCCATACCTAATAACTGCCGTATATATATAAACTGAATTTAGCAGGAAAATATACTTAAAATCCTATAATCTATTGAGTATTGGGTATGATAAAGATTTAAAATGTATAACTTTGGATAGGTTAGACATCGGGTGACAAGATTATGGATAACCTAAAAATTGGCAATAATAGGGGCGATTGTGCACTCCACGAGAAAAACCGATTATATAAAAAGGCAATGAAAAGGTCTAATGTAAACTCCGTTATTTTTATTTTCTTACCTATAATTGATTTATGGAAACTCTAACTTAATAATATATCTCAATTAAAGAAGCTCAAAAATACAAAATGATAGTGTTAAACTGTTCAAGAACGTTATAGTTATGATAATGGATTTGTATTAGACTGAGAAGTTAGAATATCTACAAAGTGTATCTCATCATTTTAGTTCACAGTCCAACATATTATAACATAACATAACATAGTGCATACCCAGGTTGCTTGGTACATACTTGTATTTTATGATTATTAAAATTAAGAATTTTACTTATTATGAAGTGTGATACCTGTATGATATCTTTTAATATTTACATTCATTATCAATAAGTTCTAAAAATGTATCAAACCATAATATAGTAATGGGTAATTTAGTAAATTACCATCAAATTACTTGAAAAGTAATTTTGTTATAATAACTTATGTCAAGTGTTACACTGGTGACGACTTAGCATTGCACTCAAAGTTAAATAATAATAATAAGCATTACCTTGCACCGAGGTTAGTCTGAAAGTTAACTTGTATTCCCAACACGGAGTTTCTGCATTTTAAACTGCTTTTTAAAAAAACCACAACAAGAAATTCTACCTACAAATCATTTTTATTTCATTTCTAATTATTTTATTTTTAAATTGTTAATGAAACCGTTTTAATGTTTATTACTCGATGGTAAATTATCAGTCATTACTTTTTCAGAATTCAAAAACAGTACATAAACTAAATACAAAAAATATGTATTTATAATTATAATCTATGGCTTAGTTACAAATTAAAATTAAATGCCTTAGTTGTAGAGTAATACAATTAATAATAAAAAGTTTTATAAAAATGAACTTCTTACAAATTAGTAGTCAATGATTTCTTAGCTTAGTACCGGTGGCGAATATTCCAATAATTGTATGCATAGTTATAGTTTACAGCATACTGACATTTGTTCCAACACTTCTAACATGTTTAACAGTAGTGGGAGGCATCCTATTCAGACGATCCAGTTCGGCACTCAAAGTACTTACATGATTTAATAATTGTACATATTTTTCATAATATGATTGTTGTTGTTCTTCACAAATTGATAAATTATCCATTTGTCTTGCAAAATATGATTTGGTGGCCATGATTTTAGCAGATTTGTTTATTACCATGTTTTGAAAATCTTGTTGAGAAATTTTGACCGATTGTCTGGATTCAATCTTAAAGCAAACATTAATTAATAAACCAATTACATGCTCCCCACAACTATTTTTTGATAATATAAATTCTTACCATTAAAAATAGTGGCCATTCCATCTTCTCTTTGGGTAATTCATTTTCTAATACTTTCCTGATAAAAGATGCTAATTTGATAGCGATCGCTACGTCATCTTTTTCAGTAAAGGCTGTTTGTGCATTGGTGCGTTTGATGTTACCCTTACCACGATCTGTATTTGAGCTCTCACCACTTTTATTGACTGAATGCTTCCTTACATTAAGAGAGGATGGAAAACTTCTGCCACTGCCATTGACTGGTTTGGAATTCTTAGTTCTATTTCTTGGCTTCCTAATCATAATTTCACTATTGTTTTTCTTGGTCAAAGTAACTTTTTTCTCCACCTGTTGTATTTTTACTCCTTCGACCGGACTATTAAACTTGCCATTGCGTTTCATGATAAAAATTGAACTTTTAAAATATATACCTAATCGAACAGTTATGATAAATTATTTAATAACAAATATAATTTTCTAATAATAAACAAATTATAATACGATAGTTATAACTTGTTGAATATAAACAACACATCCTGTATTATATAGATTATAAGCAAATTATTCACACATTTCACACTGTAGTACAGCAAACGCTGAATAGGCATTTTATATTTCTATAGCATATTCGTTATATGTACTAGCCTGTAGGACGATCAGTCGTTGTTTTATATTACATATCGGAGCACTATAGTTATTCATATCAATTGTACATATTATTATATTATTACATGTTATATCCGCTCTTACATTTATTTACCTTTAGCTTCTGTATATCTGCGTACCTCGACAGGTTATGGGCCCAGTAGTAAGGTATTTATAATAAAGTCGTGCATGTTTAACACATTTATTATTGATTTATGAATCACGTGTTTGTGTACAGACAGTGTACAGCAATAATAATTCGCGAAGTATAGTGCAGTATAGTCGAAGTGCGTTTGCGTAGTAAGTGCATAGATCGTGTTAAGTGCAGAAAACGTATTAAGTTGTGTTAAATTTAAATTTATAGTGTACAGGCAGTGTACAGATAATTTGTTATTATGGAAAACGAATCTATAAAAATTAACAAACTAACAAGCAACAAAAACTGGCAACAATGGAAGTTTCAAATGAGTCATTACTCAATATGAATGCAGCCGATATATTTGACGTTGTGACCTGAAAATCGAAAAAACCTGTTCTTACAAAATCAAGTTCAGAAACTGAAGATGATGCAAGAAAAAGGTATGGTGTTGATTATTCAGTCTTTAAAAGAGCTGACAATAAAGCTCAAAAATATATTGTAACATCTGTAGACGAACAGCCATTATTATATATTATGAACTGTGAAACAGCAAAGGAAATGTGGGACAAATTGCTCAGCATATATGAACAGAAGTCTGCAACAATCATTTCTTTGTTACAAGAAAAATTTTATAGTTATGTTATTGACCCCGTAGACAGTATGGCTGGTCACATATCAAAACTAGAAAATTTAAGTAAGCAATTGGCACAATCAGGAAAACCAATATCTGATTCAATGCTGAAGTCGAAAAGAATAGTTCACTAACTAAGAATTATTTGAAACACAATTCCCAGTACGTTTTGGTGATGGTAAATATATTATGGCTATTGGTAAAGGTAATATAAATGTTCAAGCAAAAATCGGTGATAAATGGGTTGACAGTCATTTAGACTGTCATCTAAAAAAAAACAATCGTATAGTTGCTATAGGAGTTCGTGAGAATAAAATGTTTTCAATGGTTCTGAGAATAGGACCATTACAACAGGCTGATCAAGCAAATATTGCAGTTAAAATCTCACATTACTACAGTGGCATGAAATTTTAAGTCATCAGAATGTTCAACATGTTCGAAACTACTTGAAACATATGCGTATTCAATTTACAGAAACAAAAAACAAGTTTTTCTGCGAAGCGTGCGTTTATGGCAAACAACACAGAGAGCCGATCACACTGAGTAATACTAAAACTACAAAACCCGGTCAGTTAATTCACAGTGATGTATGTGGACCCATGGAGGTAAACTCACTTGGAGGTAAACGGTATTTTGTTATATTCAAGGATGATTATTACAATTATACGTATGTGTATTTTACGAGCCAAAAAAAAAAGTAAAAGCCTTGTTGGATAAATTTGAAATAAAACATGAGACGAATGTACCATACACACCTCAGCAAAATGGGAAGGCGGAAAGATCAATGCGAACAATTGTAGAAGCGGCCAGAACTATGGTATACAGCAAAAATTTGTCTAAGACACTTTGGGCAGAAGCAGTGATTACAGCTGTATATATAATAAATCGTACAGGAAACACAGGTCAAGAAGGAAAAACACCTTATGAATTATGGTTCAACAAAAA